TTGCAAGGTATTGGTGGGGTCAGAAAGAGAGGGAGCGACAGATTCATTGGGTTAGCTGGGAAACTATGGGTAAGGCTAAGATTGATGGAGGTTTAGGCTTTAGAAATTTGAAAGAATTTAACTTGGCCCTTCTTGGCAAGTAGTGTTAGAGTCTAATCCATGAGCTTGATTCTCTCTGGGCTATGGTTATTAAGGACCGGTACTTTCCTAATGGGTCTTTTAGGGAGGCCAATAGAAGGGGAAGGGCTTTGTGGGCCTGGTCGAGTATCCTTGCAGGCCAGGACTTGTTGCTCCAAGGTTCTCATTGGCAAATTATGAGTGAGGCACAAATTAGGGTGTGGGTGGATAGATGGATTCCTACCTTACCAATGAGGCACCCCATTCCTTTGTTAGGGACTTCAGCAGATGACACACTTTCTGTTTCTTCAATTATTGATCAGGAACACTCTTCATGGTATTTGAATCCTATTATTGATCTACTCTCTCCGGATAAGCATGCAATCATTCTGGATACACCTATTGGTGACCCCACGAGGTGTGACAAGTTCATGTGGGTTGCTGATCGTAGAGGAAGGTACTGGGTCAAGTTCGGCTACAGGTGGCTGCATGATCGTAATGCTAGAGCTCGGTCTTATCGTTATTTGGCAGCTAATGTTGTTGAATCAAGGGTGTGGAAATGCAAATAGAGAAAGGAGGTCCCCCCCCCAAAATTCGAAATTTTATGTGGAGGGCCCTTAGGAAGGGGTTTGCTACGAGACTAAGTCTATTTGTTAGGCGATGTTCCCCTTCATCATTATGCCCGTTGTGTAATTCCTATGAGGAGTCAGTGGAACACCTTCTGCTGCTTTGCCCGTGGGTTGAAAGGGTTTGCTTTGGTGGGCCGTTGTGCAACCGTGTGGATCAGGGGTCTATAAGATCTCTGTAGGCATGGCTTAAAGGTTTTTTGGGTTCAGATCTTAGCTCCGTAGAGGAATGGATGAAATCTCTGTCCATAATTGTTTTTACATGCTGGAACATTTAGAAGGCTCGCTGCAATGAGGTGTTCAACAACATAACCCTATCCCATTCTCAAACTATCCATATAACAGGGGTTGCAATTGCCTCATTCTTGGCTGCCCACTCCAGGTTGGCCCCTCCCCTTCTACCATACAACAGGCTTCCGTGTTCGCCATCTAATTGGACTCCTTTTCCAGTGAATAAGCTAAAGATTAATGTTGACACATCGTGGATTGAGGGCCTTATGGGTGGTCGAACCGGTGGATTTGCAGGTATTGTAGTAAGAAACTTAGAAGGTTGCTGCATTGGGATCAGTCGCAGGGAGGTTTAGGCTTCAAATGTGTGTTCGGCGGAAGCCTCGGCGGTCCTCGAGGGATGCATGTTGGCCTTGCAGCAGGGTTTCTCTGAAATTATCATCAAATCTTACTCGTTAGAGGTGGTGTCTTGCCTTAATGGCCAGATTGGTGATTGCAGTTGAGAGGCATTCCCCATCCTATCTTGCATCAGTGCATTGAGGAATTCCTTCCATCCTTGCGACTGGTCTTGGGTCTCAAGATCAGCAAACTGTGCAGCGAACTATGTGACGTCTCATTCTAGTGCAGAGATGTGCGATACCGTTTAGGTCGAAAAACCTCCATCTTTGCTTGTGGGCATTCTCAACAATGACGGCATTCCCTGCCCGCCGAACTAGTCTTTTGATGTTGAGCGATTGGGTTAACTCCAAGGTCTTGTGTGTCTGTTTGTACCCCCTGTCTCTCTCCTAGTTGGTTAATCTGTTTGTTTGCCCTTGTTGGCTTTCTGCCCTGTGTGGCTTTCTCTGGTTAATATAATAATCAGTTTCCAAAAAAAAAAAAAAAAAAAAAAAACATAAGTGGATTAATAATATCATATATAAGTAATCTGATTGTCGCACCGAAAATTTATGCCTATTCCACCTGCATGTGATTGACCGACCAAAGAGTAGAGAATTATATTGTGTTCGTTAAATCCCACATGACCCAGGGGAAAGGATCCTCTATGCCTTATATGCACATGCCCACCTCTATATAGCACGAGGCCTTTTAGGAGCTCACTAGCTTCAGATTTCATCGGAACTCCGAATTTAAGCTAGTTCGGGCGAGAGCATTCCTAGATAGGTGACCCACTGTGAAGTTCTCACGTGAGTTCCGAGAAATAAAATTGTGAGGGTGTGGCCCAAAGCGGACAATATGGTGCTACGGCGGAGCCAATCTAGGATGTAACAATTTGGTATTGTAACCAATCCCTGGCCGGGAATGTGCCAACGATGACGTTGGGCCCCTCAGGGGTGTGGATTGTTAGATCCCACATCGCCCAGGGGATAGGATCATCTATACCTTATATGTACATGCCCATCTCCATATAGCACAAGGCCTTTTGGGAGCTTATTGGTTTTAGGTTCCATCGGAACTCCGAAGTTAAGCGAGTTTGCACGAGAGCAATCACAAGATGGGTGACCCACTAGGAAGTTCTCGTTTGAGTTTCCAGAAACAAAATCGTGAGGGCGTGGTTGGGGCCCAAAGCGGACAATATCTTGTTACGGCAGAGTTGTGCCCATCAGACAATATTGTGCTACAGCGGAGTCGTGCCCAGGTCGGGATGTGATAATGTTCCCATGAATAGAAAATAGGAAATTAGAGTTTAATCGTGGAATAAGATCAACTTTTGATTAATATTTGGTATAAGATTAAGAATTGAATTTCGTCATTTGATCCGGTTTACATGTCATCCTACATATTCCACATTATATTTATCCATTTTACATTGATTTTATGGTTTTCTTTCTTCCAATTTTATCCTTGTGAACAATAATTGATTTTATGAGAAATATTGCAAAATTTATTACTCATTTGAAATCCAAATATTTGCATTTAATTTATTACTCATTTGAGAAATGTTGGAGAATTTGATATAAGGTGGTGATCATCTCTCTCTCCCACTCTCGCTCTCTCGATCTCTCTCTCCCTCCCTCCTTCCCTAAAAAAATTCTATTAATTTGAATGGAACTTTCCATTTGGTGATTGTCAGACCTAAATATATGAAGCCTTTTTTCCATTTGGTTTTTCATTTCACAACAATAGTGATCTCAACAAGAAGCCCTTTTTCGTATAGCTAATTATACTTTTGAGAACTATACAGGTACATACATTTTGGTACATATACTTCGTACCAAGGTTCTAAAAAACGCTAGGCGCTAGGCGGGCGGCGGGCTAGCGCCTAGGGCTAGGCGGCTAGGCGGATTTAGGTAAATTTCTTGTATATATTGTAAATAAGTGCATATTGACACTTTCAAAAAATTATTCTTGTATGAAATCCATGGATAAGATAATAAAAGAATGATAAAATGCAAAAAGAGTATCCAACAAGTCCAAAATTTAAAAACACATTAAGCATATATGCCATATAACCATAGTGAGGAGTATTGTAGGATGCCACATATACAACAAGTTCACAATTTAAAACAACATAAAATGGAAAATAGGAGGAAAATAAGGAAATTTAGTAATGTAAGCTACTTATCTTTAGCATCCCTGAATTTAAGTTGATGCACAACACACCTATTCTATAAAATAAACAAAATTTCAAGGTATAATTAGAACTTAGACTTTAAACAAATTTCACAAAAAAAAAAAAAAAAAAAAAGAAAAAAAAAGAAAAACCACCCAGCCGCCTAGAGCCACCACGATTTTTCCAGCCGTTTTGCACAAAATCGCCTCGGTTCCAAAGGGCCGCCTAGGGCGTTTTTTAGAACACTGCTTCGTACATATATTTCGATATACATGGTTCAGTACATATATTTCGGTACTATATTTCAGTACATTTATATAATTCGATGCACATCTTTGATGCACATATTTCGGTACACATACTTTGGTTCAATCATTTTGTAATTATTTGGTATATACTCATTACTTTGCAACTTGCATAATGATAGACCATGTATTTTGCATTTTTTTTTCTTAACGTTTCATTAATATTTTTTTGTTATGATTAATAGAGGAAATCAAGGATGATGGCAAAAAATATGGATTTATTAATAGAGGAAGTCAAGGATTCAATCATTCAACTGCATTTATTAATACAGGAAGTCAAGGATGATGGCAAAAAATCTGGATCAAATCAATAAATCAAATTTTTTTAGTTTTACAAAAAAAAATTAAATATTTAATATGGGCATTTTGGGAAAGAAAAAAGGTATTTAAGTATCTAATAGCAATTAATTATGAATTTAAATATAAATGTTGATGTGGATATCTAGTCAAACGGCTATAATTAATGTTTGATCTTACATTAGGTTTTAAATATTGAATTCAATCTTATCAAAGGATTAATATTCAATTAATTGTCGAATTTTATGTTTGGCTTGGGGTCCGACAAAATATTTTCTGCAGTCCGTACTGTTCAAGATAGGGAACTCCCAACAGCATACCTAGCCAGTAAAATAACAAAATAGTAGAAAATAATTGAATGAAAATTACCTTATCATCCTCTACAGGAAGATGTGCACGAACATGTAACTGGAAGCCCCATAGTAACATGGTACACACCTGATACTGATATGGGCATTTTCTTCAAAACAGGACGTGCACAATTGCATCAGAAACGCCGTATTTAGAAATCGGGAAGATTCTTTACTCTCTTAATTTCTTTATCTTTTCATGTCCTCCTATTTGAATGGTCACGGTTAAACTACGTCAACATCTTATATTGATTTTTTTTATAGATATAATATGACAAAAAATAATATGTGAGAAGAGAAAATAAAAGAAGATGAGAATATGAGGGTAGAGAATCCTCCTCTTTTAGAAATCTAGGCAAATCCAATAGAAAAGCTTCCAGAAGAAAGTCCAGGTACTTGGTCTCCTACGTTAAGAGACCATTTAGCTCACAATAAATGGAAGGAAGTTGATTTTCACACTTTTTTTTAATCTCTCACCTTTTCTTTACTTTTAACCACCTAACTGAATAAATCAAACAGAACTATATGAACAAGACTAAACAAGAATATATATAAAAACCATTAACTTTTCCGTTAGCTACCAACGTGGACGTTACGAATCCCACAATATATGTGCCACGTGGATTAAATTAAAAGAAATTACAAAAAATCTCAATTAAAAAAAATATAGTTAAAAATAAATTTAATTTTAAAACTTAAATCCTTCTCTCCAACCCAGATTCTCCAGCCTCTCCGTACGCCACTCCCGTGGGCCATGGCCGCGAGCACTGCGAAAGACACCCACATCGACATCGACCTCCACGAACCCCTCACCACACCATTCGTTACAGAGATAGAGGTCGAGGATTATGGCGAGCTCAGCGCAGGTGGTGGATCAGCCGTCGAGCAAAACGGGTCCTGTGGCTCCCACCGTTGTGGACGTCGATTTGGGTAATCGGAGCTACCCGATTCACATCAGATCCGGACTGATTGATCAGCCATTCAGAGGTTCAGATCTGGTCTCCTCGGCACTGCGTCTTGGCTGCTGGTGCAGCGTGAAAAAGAGAGAGAAGACGGGACCAAAACCCAGTGCGACGAAAACAAATCAAGCGGATCAAAACCCATTATAGATTTCGAGAAAACAAGAAAACCCCATGAATCGAAAAGCATAAAGAGTCAAAGAAATGGGAAATTCTGCAGAAGGAAGACTGACCTCTTTGACTTCAGCGGAACACTCCGAAGGGTCGGAGAACGATCTCTTCAGGCAGGCCGATTCACCCATCTTAGTGTTCTTGCTTTCTCTGGTAAAATCCCTCTACTTGGGGTCGTTTAATATATGGCTAGAAATTTGAATTGTGAATTGGAATTCAAGAAAGGCGGCTTATTGTGTCCATTCCATGTTTGGTTTTACAGTTTTTCCCCAAAAATGTGCAGAAAAAGGGAGCTTTTTAGAGAAGAGGGACTGGGTATTTTGTTTGCCTTTAATGTTTGGGTTTTTAGCTTCCTTGTTGATTTTCTTGGATGGAGATGTTTCTATTTTTTTTTAGATAAATTATATTTATCAAAATCAAAGAATGCCGAATTCGGCCGGAGAAGAAGGTGGTGGGGGAAATTAGTTGTGGTTCTGGCGGTGAGGGTAGGAAAAAAGGGGTGGGGGAGGAGATGGATGGAGTGGGAAGAAGAGTGGGGCTGGGAGTTGGCAGGGGGTGGGGCCCACGGTTTTTAATAAAAAATATTTTTTTTATTTTTAAAAGAATTTATTTTTTGAGTTTTTTTTTGTTGGGGCTTATATGGCATATTTGTGGTATCTATGTCAGAACAAAAATAAGTTTCAGATTTACTACATCACCACTTTATAGTTTAACGGATTGACTGATGGATATGTCATATTGAAATAAAAGGGTAATAAATGTATAAGATTTAAATGTTTTGAAAATGTTATATAAGGTTGTAATTAAACACAAATAGTCAAATCTTAAAGAGTAAAATGTAATTTACCAAAAAATAATATATATATATATATATATATATATATATAAACCCTCCAACCAATCTCACATTATGTACCCATGTGCGTGACTGGATTTGGGGTCGGGACCCAGTTGACCCACTGGCCACTTGATTTGACCTTCACAAAGAATAGCCAGCCCAGTTTGTAATCATCTGTCTTTCCCGCACTTTCTCTTGAGAGCGCGGGAGGCATTCGGGTATGCATTTGACACCTTGTTCATAAATAAGCATAAAGACTGACTAACCAGTAATGAAAAGAAGCTACAGTTTGAGCCTCTCCTAGCAAAGTTCAAGTCATCTCAAGGAAAGGTTACAAGATGAAGGTAAGAAAAGAAAAACCCTAGTATTCTCCTATTCTTATAGGACAGTGGCTAAAATAATGGAAATACATTGTTCCATCTGCTAAAATGATCATTTTGTTTCAACATTTTGTTCATATGTCATATGCCATTGTTATTTGATTGATCATTTCAACGTTGAAATCTGTAAAATTCTCTCTTCAACAATTGTGATGTATAAACTGATTTTGCCTCCTAATGTTGCAGTTACTAGGTTGGATGCATCGCATGTTTCGGCAGAATAGCAACGATCCATTTAAAGTTTCCGTCGTTGGTAAGTCGCTCTATGCCTTGGACTACACATTCTTATATGAAATATATTGCAGAAATATATCAACTTTTTTCATGATCAAATATAACAAATCAAATGTATAGTCACTATCAGGCTTATGAAAATTAAATTAGGAAAAAAGGAATAAGAATATTTGACTTGTGAACCAAAGAGAGGCGCGATGTCGCTGCCCCAAAGCCGTAGATGCCTCCCTACGTGCAGGTTATGGCGGTGCCTACAGCTCCAAGATACAACCCAAAGCCTCAGAGGATGTCTAATCCGTTATGCACGCCAACGGCAGACGAGATTGCCAAGTAGTGATCAATTGCTCAAGAATTATAAAGTAGGAATGTAAATTGACTGATAAAAATGTGAGAAGTGAAGGAGACAGAATAGTTTTTAACGTATTTCGTTTTCTGTATGAGGTTTCTTATTTAAAGAACTTCTCATACCCCTTTAGAAAAGGATTATGACTCTTCAAATAAAACACAACTCTTAAGTATTAAAAATAAATAAGATAATAATAAGTTTTGAATCTTTAAAATAAAATATAATTAAAATAATTAAAAATAACCAACAGTTAAAACTTAATTAGTCCGCCTAAGAACATAGAATTAGTCCAAACTAGAAATTTTGAAAGATCAATTATGATCACATAAAAAAACCAAAAAAAGATAATGTTCATCCAAGTTCCTTACAATGCGTTTTGTGTCAGAACATTCTTGTGGTTGTCTTTCAGGGCAGCCATCGCTCGACGATCAACAATACTATCAGAAGTCAAACTGGGGCACGAAACCCTTCACGCAAGCCCCGAAAGATCAGCACCTTGGAAAATCTTTCAACAGTCTAGAAGCAGCCAGGACAGAAGAAGAATACTATGAAGAGGAATCATCTGCTGAGGCATCTGAGCTCTTCCATGGCTTTCTAGCAATCGGCACCCTTGGAAGCTTGGACCAAGTGAACACGGAACCATCAACCCCAATGCTTGGAATCTCCGTGGAGAACATAACCGCAAAAGAAACTGAGGCCGCGGAGAACGAGTTGAATCTCATCAATGACGAATTGGAGAAAGTGCTAGTGGCTGATCCGGCGAAGGATGATATTTGCAATGATTCATCTGGAAGAAACAGCTATGTCAGCAATGGAAGAAGTAGCCAAGGAAGCACCATTACGCTAAGCGGGAAGGCACTGGAAGGCGCAGAGAACAATGGGAATAATGGAACGGCGGTGTGCCCGCTCCAGGGATATCTTTTCGGGTCGGGATATGTGTTGTCTGAAACAATAATAGTGGCAAAGCAGGAACACAGGACATCTCTTGGTGAGCTGTTCCAGAGGACTAAATTGGCTGAGGAGATCTCCGGAGCAGAATTGATCAAAGAGGAGAAGCAAGCGGATAAGTCCGCCATGCACTTAATCAAAAAGATGCTCAAGAAAAAAATGCTTCACGCTTCTTCTCGTGGCTCCGGCATAGCTGCTGATCATGCTTCAGCAGAAACAAAACTCAATAAGGTAACTCTAACGAAAAATATGGAAAAATTTTGCTTCTTACAGCACTGGCAGAGCCATGATTTTATGTGAGGAGGGGCCTCACAATTGTTAAAAAAAATAGATAGTACGGTACAAGACAATATAATACATACTTGGAGTTGTGAGCTAATTAAATTTTTTTGAGGTGCTAAATGCTTTTTTCATGTTGAAATTAATCTTCCAATATCAAGTTAATATAGACTAGTAAATCAAAATTTAAAAGGATTAAGAGAAATTAGCCTTCCAATATCAAGTCAATAAAAATGCTAAGGAGACCAACTTTTTAGACCATATTTTAGAGACCAATGTGGTGGTTAATGATTTAATTTCCTTTAATGATTTAAAGAAATAATCCAACTATTAACCGCTATATAATCATGTGATCCCAAAATATGGCTCAAGTAGATGGTCTCTCCAACACCACCCCAAGTCAAGATAGAATAAATTGGGAATTTTCAAATAAAAAATGAGAAGAATGGATTGGAAATTTGGAGAACAAAATATGTCAAATTTTAAAAACCAAGTAAAAGTTACAAAGAATAGAGAGATTTACAAACCTTAATATTGTTGTGGGCTGGGAATTTAGAGGACAAAATATTTGAAATTTCAAGAAGGGGAGGAAGAAAAGCTCAAAGTTTATTATTCTTCGGTTGGTAATGTAAAAGAATATTATTTTGATAAAACTAATTAGACTTTAGATTTTATATTTTAAGAGTTACCGATTTGTTTATAAATAAGATGCTTAGTTTTAGGATGAGTGTTGTTGGGATTGAAAAGAAAAAGAGACATCTTGTTTTATTCATTGGTGAATAGAATTAGAAATTTTGTGTATATACTAAAAAAGTATAATATTAAGTTTACCTAAAAAAAGAAGGAAATATAATACATGTGATACTAAATATTTTGAAAAAAAAGGGTAATTCTAGGCCAATGCTCTCCGCCCGTCTTACAGTTTTTATATGATTGCATCAAACATTTTACGTGCATTCCAAGCTTCTCGCATCGAAAAAGTAATTTGAACTGAAACGGGGTATATGTATATCAAATTTGTGTGTAGATCCTTCACATGTTCCGTAGAAAAGTTCACCCTGAGACCTCGGCGGCTGAGCGAAAACCCGGTAAGTACAAAGGGAACCAAAGCAGGAAGAAACCAAGCAGTGAGGGGACTTGCAACAATGGAGATCAGGATGAAGACATCTTGTTATATCCTCAACAAGGATTTTCTTCAAATCAGAGCATGCGGCTCTACAAGAGCCAATCAAACCCACCCCAATTTGTGCTTAGCGGCATGAATTCAAATGAGAACAGGGGGCACTGGATCAAAACAGGTGCAGACTGTAAGTCCATTATGCACCAACTCATTTCAAAATACAATGTAGAATACCAATCAACCCCTTTTGTTTGATCTTGGTCTTTCCTCAACAATGACTACATGCAAAGCACTTAAAAATGAATACTTAATAGCATAGCCTCTGACTACTGTTACTGTTAACAAGAAACACTTCAAGAATCAAATTATAGAAAATAACGCTTCACATATCAAGTGTTAATGTCAGGTACAATAACATTTGATTCAGTGTCTTTCTTTGAAACTGTGCTTATCTGAGAAGAGCCCTAAAATTATGCAGAAAAACTCCTTGCCTCAACAAATAATGTCAGGTAAAATAATATTCAGGTTGTGTCCAATATTTGTTTCTTTTCAAAACAGTGTTTTAGGTGTTTGACTAAGAAACAGAGGTTTGAGATGCTTATATGTAAAGAGCCTAAAACGAATCAAGTATTAATTATATGAATCTTGAATCAGTTTAGTTAAGGATTATATCTGATTCAGTTATGTTGTGTTTATTGTAGACCTAATCCTGGAGCTGTGAAAGGATAAGAGATTCAAGTTGGGTTTTTCGAATTGTGACTGCTTGATTAGTAAGAAGTGTTTCTACAGATTGATTAGTGTTTGTAAGAGTGAGATTCTACTTGTTTGTATCAAAGAACATGTTATCTACCCCTTTGATTGCATGCGGTGTCGTTTTGTAGTTTCCCGCCAACGTGTTGCCTTCTCCACCCTTTTATTCACGGTTGCTAATTCAAACCACGACTGTTTTTCCCACAACAATTTTATGGCATGTTTACTTAATAAAAATAGGAAAAAAAATGTAATCAGAGAGCTTAAAAACAGGAGAAGGAAGGGGAATCATAATTTTTGGTATTTAGATATTTGATTGGGTACAAACTAAAAAATTTAGCCTAAGGTCCGTATGCAACATTTTTAGAAGGGCTTAAGACGTGTTTTTTTATACCAAGAACGTTGAGAAGTTAAATGGCAACTAGCTTCAAAGCATGGAAGCATCAAATTGAAATGAACCTTGGGATGTTGGAATTTAACATAGCATTCAAGGTACCTCAACTCTCTACATTAACTGATGAAAGTACTGCACAAGAGAGAATTTTGCAAAGTGGGATAGAGCCAATCAAATGTCTCTACTCATCATGCAAAATTCAATAGAGGACTTCTAAGAGGAGGGATTCCTAGCCCTGTTTTGGCTAAGAATTACTCAATGGAGGACTTCTAAGGGGAGGGATTCCTAGCTCTGATTTGGCTAAGAATTACATGGACAAAATTGGAGAAAAGTTCAAGAGATCAGACAAAGCTAAAATTGGGGCTTATTTGTCAGCTTTAATAAACTCCAAGCATGATGGCTCTAGCAGCATACGGGAGCACTTACTGAAGTTGGTTAACATTGCCAACAAGTTGAATGCTTTGGACATTGGCATTACTGATCAATTCCTTTTGCACATGGCACTATTTTAACAGTCAAGTGATTATAAACAACTGAAACCGATTATGCAAGAATAAGAAAGAATGAAGAAAATGAGAGCTGAGAGACTTAGCTTGCAAACCTTCACCCTGGTGTGGGTTCGATTTTCATCGATCTCTCTTCATCTGAACAACTAATAATTTAACTCACTAACGCTGTTGTTTGTAAATTTTTAATATATTTTGATTTTTTGAGTGAGACGGTAACACTATCATAGTTTTTTTATACCCATTTTGTACAACCCCCCTGACATTATTTCACGAGCCAACTATCTGTTTTTTTATTTTTTATTTTTTTATTTTTTGTCTTCCCTTAAATATCAATTTTACCAAAAACCACCCAAATTCAAAACTATTTGTCTGTTGGATTAATGGTAGTCATATTAATGAATCTTTGAAAAATCTTATTCATCTATTTGCTTCACTACAATCGGATATCTTAATGGTTTTGAATTTGTATATTAGTGTAAGGATGATTAATGAATGATATATAAACATATAGACGGTTTGGAGTTGTCGCTCAATCAAAATTATTTGAGGGGTCCCTTAAGAGCGTTAACCAGTTAGTATTTTAATACAACATTAACCACTCATTTGAGCCCACTCCACAATGTAATCTCATGATTCGAACCATTCAAATTTTAGGTTATCAGGACAAGATCATCCTTGCAAAAATTCAATAATATTCTGAAATGATGATCGGTTTAGATTGTAAGAAATATGGATCCTGAAATGATGGTCGGTTTAGATTGAAAGAAATATTGATCCTATATGTGTGTGTGTGTGTGTGTGTGTGATTTAGTGGATCAGTTTAGATTGTATGAAATATTGATCTTGAAATAATGGTCAGTTTAGATTGTAAGAAATCTTGATCATGTGTAAGTGATTCAGTGGATTTGCAACGAGAGACATGCAAATACATGTCACGACATTGCGTGCACCAACGTGGGTTGCTGGGTTATAGGCTTATAGCGTCACTTGCCAAGATTAAGATTATGTGTGCTTAATCTTAATTTGATTAGAAAAGTAGTGTTTTAATCAAAATTAAGGGAGCACCAATTAGTTCGCAAGAATAAATGTATTTAGTAAAAGTATGGTTGTAGAGTCAAGTAAACATTCGGCACCATCACGTGACATAGTAGGCAATGACGATATTAGTTGATTACGCCTTAACCTCTCTGTGAGGATCTTGGGGATCTTCTAATTACATCTATTCATCGTACATTGTGCGGTCAGAAATCATTGTAAATTTTTATTTAAAATTGAATATAAATAGTATCTAATAAAAACTGACCGTACGATATACGATGAACGAATGTGATTGGAGGATATGCCGGATCCTCACAAAGAGGATTAAAGGATCCTCATACCTTGTACGCAGACAAAGACTTGAGATTTATTTGTTTTTTTAACTACCTAAAAACCTGAAGTTCTTTAGTCATAAAAACCAAATAAACCAAATATAAGAAGCGAATCTCAATGTCTCCTTCCCAAAAACTGAATGTCCCAACAATCTATTTTATCACAATAATATATATATATATATATTTTTTTTTTTAACAAACGATATTATCTACATTGAAAAAAGGGGATAGACTTTAGCCTCACAATATCATATGAGATTGAAGTAAAACACAAAATATAATCAATTAGTGAAGTAGAATCTCAACATGCCATGTAAGATTGAAGTAAAACACAGGGAGATTGCCAATCTAAACAGTCGTACAACTATTTCCAGAAAAAAAAAAAAAATTAACGAAAAGGGCTTGAAAACTTTGAGTTTTAACGATAAGGACAAAATAAAGGATAAAGTGAATAGTACCAGGATTGACTTTTTAGTGTAAAAATGTGATTTTTCGTTAAAGTGAACAGTACGCTTTTCGTTAAAACTACCAATAAAAAAAAGAGGACAATTATTTATGATCGATATTTCCACACCTCTTTAATTATAAACATTTTCAATCAACTTGAATATTTCTTGGAATTTTACGTACAACTTACTAAAATTACAAAAATAAGATGCTAAGAAAAATGATTTATTTGTGGCATGAACAAAAAAAAATCAATAAAAAAGAACATCAATGGCTACTTTGATAATCATTTTATTTTTATACCTTTCTATCTTTCTTATTTCCCGTAGACTTTCCCTTCATCTCTAAAAAGATTAAAATTAAAAAAAGGAAAAGAAATGGTGATTGAAGAGAGGGAGCTACCCCTTTCATTAAAGATTTTTCCCCATCTTTGCTATTTGCCTTTGCTAAGAGATCAGACAAAGATGTGTCTGGATATCAAGAGCAAATGCCAAAGAGCACGGATAAAGAGGCAATGAAAAGATGACAAATCTAGACCAGGTTTACGGTTACACCCATCATCTGCACAGAAACTATTTCTTGTACGGTGACAACTCAAGGCTGCTTAGGGAAATAATGGTACTTTAAGTAATAAGCTCTAATCAGCAGACCATGTTTCTGTTAGGATATAGTAGTGTTATGTGATTATGACACTTGTAACAGATTGTGCATTTAGTTTGTTTGTTAGTTACATGTATTTGGCTCCTATATAAGTCCAAGTGTAATGACTTCCTGAGTAAGAAATCAATACAACAATACCTTCATCTCTCTCTCTATCTTCTTATTTTCTCTCTCTAGTTCTTGATAATTGTCTCTGATATATCTGTATAAATATTAACATGGTATCAATGGCCGGATCAGCTCACGCTAATCTGTTCGATCTTTCTGTTGCTTCCGCTTCTCTAATTTGATATAGCCTCTACGATTTCAGCTCTATATTGCTCACGATCATGTTCTCTCACTGTGCGATTGACAATCTTCTTCTTCTCTCAATTTCTAGGGTTTGCTGCAAATTGGGATCTTTGACGTTGTGTTGAAGATTTGCTGCAAACCAGGTGTTTGTTTTTTTGTCTAAGTGACAATTTCCTTCGAAGTTTGCAAATATGGTAACTGCATCACAACTTCATATTCTTCAATCTCCAATTACTGCTCTGATTTCCACAATTTCTACTTTTGTGAATATTAAGCTTCATGATACGAATTACTTGAATTGGCAATTTCAAATGCAATTATTGTTAGAAGGTCATGGAATTTTGCAGTTTGTTGATGGCTCTAATCTCTATCCTTCTTGATTTATTGTTAATCCGAGTGAATCTAGTATAGTCTTTGGTGATCCTTCTTCTCAAATTGAGAATGATGCCTATGTTGTTTGGAAAATGCATAATCGAGCATTGATGCAACTGATTACTGCGACTTTATCACTTGCTGCCATTTCTTGTGCTATTGGTAATTCTAGTGCCCGTGATCTTTGAAATAGATTGAAAGAACAGTTCTCTACTGTTTCAAGAACCACTATATTTCAGATGAAATTTAATCTACAAATTATTAAGAAAGGGTCAGATTATGTGTTTAAGTATTTGCAATGAATTAAAGAGGCTCGATATTACTTGTTTGCTGCTGGGGTTTACTTTCCTGATGAGGACATTGTCATATTGCCACTCAATGGCTTGCCTTCTGAGTACAATACTTTCGGATGTGTTATTCGAGGTAGGGAAAGTGTAATTTCTCTTAAAGACTTTAGGTCTTAGTTACTAGCAGAAGAACTAATTGTGGAAAGCAATGTATCATCTCAATTTTTGTCTGCCATGGTTGCTAATACCAATACCATTTATTAACCTATGTCTTCCACTTATTCTACTCAATCTAATCATGGTCATGTGACATATAGTTCATCTGCTGGATCATCTTATGGTCAAATTGGTGGTTTTAGGCAGTTCAACAATAATAAGCAAAAGGGTAAAGGAAAGTTCAATCAAGGGTATAGGTATCCTACACCAAGACAATAGTTCTTTAATCAGACTCATGTCCCTACCTCAGGTGTTCTTGGTCCATCTCCAACTGTGCCTTTTGCTCAATCTGTTTTTTTGTCAGTTGTGTAATGTTTGTGGTCCTACTGCACCATTTTGCCATTCCAAGACAATGGATAAATCTAGTTGCCATATTTGTGGGAAGAACAACCACACTACTTGGTTTTGCTTTTACGATGATAAGGGTCTTTCATACATTAGTCCACAACAACCATCTATGGCTCAATATTCATATGCTCATTCAGCACCTCAGTTTCCTTCTCAGCCTGCAATGCAAACCATGCATACAATGATTCCATCTTACTCTTCAACCTCTATACAAGGAATGCAGAATATGGTTCAATCAT